GTAATACCCTTTTAATTTAAAATTGTCTTGAGTGGCTTGTCTTAACTGATTAGAGAGCCGTTTTGACGATTTTAAATTAAAAGTGTATCCCGAAAGTGAAACCAAAAAAATTGATTTGTCACCTAAAATTTGGGAATGAAAGAAAAGGAAATGTTCGTTTATTTAAATTTATCGAGAAAAGGTTGTTATAGCTTTTAAGATCTGGTCTCGATATTTGTAAATAATCGAACATTCTTTATCTTTCTAAAACGACTTGGTAATTTCAATTTAATTTATTTGAGTGCTTTTGAATGTTTTCAAATTTACATCTTTGTTTTATGGGATCAAAAGTCAAATTAAGTTCGAATTTCTAAAGTTCATTGCAAAGACATTAATTAATCGACTAGGTACCGATTTAGGGCGTTGTGGGGGTGCTAATCCTTCCCCACGCGTAACCGACTCCCGAACTCATTTTTTGGTAACGCAGACCTCAATTTGTTGTTTTAATTAAAAGTAATTTTTATTTAAAATGACAACATTTTTGGGTGCCCAATCACACCCTAATCAAGGATTGGTGGCGACTCTTTGAACTGTATTTTTTTTTATCGTAAAGGAAATTCAAAATTTTTCGAAACGAAAGGTCTTTTAAATCGCATTTGTTTTTTAAATTAAAATGAGATAATTTAGAATTAATGTGGTTTTCAAAATCTCACCTTTCAAGAAAAATCGTTTCAACAAGGTCCAATGAGAAAACGACTGTTACTACCCCAGAATCTACAACACCCTAACGAAGGCACTTGAAAACAAAAATTTGAAATGATAATGGAAGAATTGAATGAGTTGAAAACTGCCCAAGACCAAACTGTCAATTTGATCCCAGAGGAAAGAAACCCTTTGGTCCCTTAATTATTAGTTGATATATATCTTGCCAATTTTAAGCTACCAAATGAAGTATATGATGGCACTAAGGACCTGAATCACTTATCACAGTATAATACCTATATGGATCTCCAGGAGTTTCTGATGAGTTTAAATGCAAAGTCTTCCCAACCACCCTTCGTATAGGCATCAGAAATCGTATTATTCCCCTCCTCCTAATTTTATTTATGATTTTAGAGGATTATCGCAACATTTTGTAGGATACTTCTTGGCCAATACGTTCATTCCTATGTCTAGAGTGACCCTCTTTACAAGAGCCACGTGAATCTATTCGCGATTATACCTTACGGTTCAATGGAGCCACTCATAACATTCAAGGGCTAAATGATGATTTAGATAATACATATTTGTTTCACCTCGTTTACTATATAAATATAGTCATTATTATTTCAACTTTTTTTATTGTGTTTATAAGTGAACTGAACTGTAATAAAGATCAAATATATTGTCATTCTTAAAAACTCTTAGTTGAGTATTATTATGGGCTTTGACAACAATAATGTATTAAGACTAATGTGTAGTTAATTATGATAAAATAGTCATTGAAATAAAGATGTTAAAAGCAATACATTAGTATATATTAGAGAATAACATATTGAAATGACTAGCATGTTTCTTGGGTTATTATGTGAAATTGACAACATTAATCGTAGTAATAACTATGGATTTGTCCTTTAACTTGAGATCATCATTATCTCAATATCGTGAGTTGTATATTTTGAGACAGATAAACGTCCACAATAACTAGTTATTTTATAAAAATGATATTGAATACATCATAATCATGTAGTTGGATATGATTGATCAATATAAGATTGTAATGACCTTAATTTTTTAGTCAACATTTGGTCATTAACTCAAGCCATGGATTGATCAGCAAGTATGTGTGAATAAAGTCGTTGGATTAAATATAAACCTAATTAGATGAGAATTGAGCTTAATTGGTTCTGAAAATAGGATTTTTTGAGTTAAGAATAACTAAAAGGGTGATTATCCCATTGTTAAAAATCATGATTGATCTCTCATTAATTAAGGTTGTTTTCACGTGGGTTAGAGGAAAAAAGCTTAGGAGTGGCCTCATTTCCCCATCTCCTTTTATATTTTCTTTTATCTTCTTCTCTACTCTTCCTCAAAGAAAACTCCAAAATAATAATCATAAAAAAAAGTAATATTTTGAAGCTTATTCAATCATCCAAGACTGTAAAGGGTAAAATTAACATCCATCATCTCAGGAGCTTAAAAAAAGAGCTCATCATTTCTTCAAGATAGTGGTGTGAATTTAACCTGGGGTTTAAGAGGAAGATTTAAGCTATGAGATCTTAGACAGATCATTTTCTTTTTATTTCTTTGCTCTGAGTTCATTTTCTTACTACTTTTAATCCTTCGTTTAATCTTTGAACCATTTGTATGCAATTGTTACTTAATAAAAGAGGTTAATATTCTTTTCTCTTCTTTTTTTTTTTTTGTCAAAAATAAAGAAGGTTAATGAAAGATAATCAAATGAGCTTTCTTTTGTTGTAAAACCTAAATTAGCACACTTCAGATTTCAAAAATGTTTATTGTGTTTCATAAATTCGGTACTTGGTATGTTTGTATATTGCATGTTGGGTGTTTTGAGTGTTAAAGCATGTTTAAATGAACTTGGTGATGATTTGATGTTAGACGATGACTTGATAATCCAATAAGTCTTAGGAATTAGGATATCAAACCAAGTATTAAGAGGTGTTTTGGTTTGATTTTTTGAACTTTATTATGAGTTTTTTTTAGTATTGATATTGTTCATACAATACCAATATCGTATGAATTTAGCTTTAAAAATATTGATTTTAAACAGTCGTTATCTATATTTATTCATGCAATATTGATATTGTTCATAAAATATTCATACTCTATGGTCCTTCTTTAAGTATTTATATTCTTGTTCAGTATCCGTATTCTCGGTTTAAATATCCATACTATCTAGTTATATTTTTTATAATTATTAATTTAATAATTAATAACAAAATTAAACACAAATTAGAGTATAACGACTTAGTTTTAAATTTAATGTATTAACTTAATTTTATAAAAATATAATATAACGAATTAATCTTGAATTTAAAGACCTTCCCCATAATTAAATCGGCCATAAAAGGAAAAGATAAAGCAATTATGGAAACTACCATTTTCATCCAAAGTGGACCATTTGGATTTATGGTGGTTAGGCGTCACCGTTTAAAACAATGCAAATGCAACTCTCAACTTTATTACTCCCTTTCAACAAAGCTCTGTTTTGCTCTCTTCTCAAACTCATGAACAAAATGGCCGAAAATCTTATGCATGCTCTTCAATATAGCTGCTATGGCGGAGGCGCTGCTGGTTTGAAGGTAATTTCATTCCATTCTCATTATCTACTTTTCTATTATCTTATGGTTTTCTGGATTGAGACACTAGTTCGTTTTTTATGTGGACAACATTTCAATCAAGGTTGATAATCTGGTGCTTATATTGATCAATGGAGGGGTATTTGCTGATATTCTCATTGAATTCAAAATTCTGTTATATAAACTTACGATTGAATGCATCAAAATTATTTGAATGTGGACCGTGAAGAACTAGGTCTTGGGAAATAAACGAGTAATCAAGTAATTTCCCTATAACTATACTAGTAAGAATGCGAAATAAAAGCGGAAAAATAATATCCGAAAATTGATAACGGAGTTCAGCCAATTGTGTTTACGTCTCCGGACTGCTTCAGATCTTTTACTAAGAGAAAATTTACAGGTGTTTACAAAACACTCACTAATCATAAGAAACTCTCTAGTATTTGGAGAAAGAAATGATTTGAGATTTTGGGATGATTTTGAAACTAAATGAGATATGTATTTATAGTTGAAATTTAGGGACTAATCTTTGAAAATATCCTAAAGTACAATGATTAAAGTGAACATCTACCAAACATTTACCAAACTTTACAAAACATTTTTTAAAGTTGATTGCAAACTTTGAAACTAACTTTTAACACTAGGACAGTAGATTTTTCAAGAATGGAAAGAGAAATTGATAATGAGGTGTTGGCCATTTTTATTTGGAAATGTTCTTCCAGTATTTTCGTGCTTGATATCATGTTGATAATAATTTTTATGAGTGTTACAGCATGTTGAAGTCCCCGTCCCCGCTCCGAATCAAGGTGAAGTTTTGCTTAAACTAGAGGCAACTAGTCTAAATCCAGTTGACTGGAAAATACAGAAAGGAATGCTGCGCCCAGTTTTTCCTGTCAAATTTCCCCACATACCTGGTAGTTTTTTTATTTTCATTGTTTGTCTTGAAATATTCTTGCGACTCCTTCATTTTTACTTGGCTAATAGTACTGTGTTAAACTCCCACAGATGGCATTGAGTAATTTAATATCTACCTGATCATTCAACACTGTAATCTAATTTGCTTCCATGTACATATCTGTTTTCTGCTTTACTGGCATTTGTTAACGTGAACTCTATTTGTTAAGGCTATCGTTAAAGCACATACTATTAAGGGATATATCTTTTGTTTATTAACCAACAAAATAATATACTGGTTGGTACGCCTCTTAGTTTGAGCAATTGTGGTTAGCTGATGGTAATTCATGGTACCTATTGCCATTGATTTTTTTTTCCTTTTTGCAGCTACTGATGTGGCAGGAGAAGTCATAAAGGTTGGACCGGGAGTCACAAATTTCAAAGCTGGAGATAAAGTTGTGGGTACGCTTAATCATTTTGTAAGTTCATTCTTCGTTCTTTCTTCAATCAGCATAAAGCTCTGATCTCATAGTAGTTTCTCAACTAGCAAGTCATTAATCATTTTGAGAACAATCAGAAGGGAGATTTCCTCATGAAGAGTGGAATAAACAATAGAATTTCACTAGAGTAACAGATTACTTTTTTGTTTGTATTGATGGTGATGCTCGAGAGAAAATAGGCATTTTGATGTTTGACTGGCCTATTTGTTGGCTTAAGCTATAGGCATATCCCGAGATGCCAGATGTTATATTCTTATTACAACTTGTTAATTTTCATTTCGAGTCATATTGTGTTTAGAGTGTAACCGTCCTGTGTCTATATGACTATCGTCTAAGTGATTTTACTCTCATCATGTGGCCATTTGGCTGGGAGAAAACTAGTTACTATCACTGCAGGTCGGTAGTATGGTGAAATTATCAGCAACTCGGTGTATCATTTTTGCAAATTGCTATGGCTGTATTCTATTATGATTATATTGGCAATGTTAGATTGGAGGTGGACTAGCTGAATTTGCTGTGGCTAAGGAGAGCTTGACGGTTGCAAGGCCTCCAGAAATTCCAGCTGCTGAAGGTGCAGGCTTGCCCATTGCTGGTCTCACAGCTCACCAGGCACTCACCCAGTCTGCTGGGGTCAAGCTTGATGGAAGTGGCAAGCAAGTAAACCTCCTGATTACTGCTGCTTCAGGTGGTGTAGGTCAATATGCAGTTCAACTGGCAAAGCTGGGAAACACGCACGTGACGGCCACTTGCGGGGCTCGTAATATGGATTTAGTCAAGAGCCTCGGAGCAGATGAGGTTCTTGACTACAAGACTCCTGATGGGGTGACACTGAAGAGCCCCTCTGGTCGCAAATATGATGCAGTGATCCACTGTGCGACAGGCATTCCTTGGTCTACCTTTGAGCCTAATCTGAGTGCGAACGGGAAGGTAATAGATATAACTCCTGGTCCTAGAGCTTTGCTAACTTTTGCAATGAAAAAGCTTACCTTTTCAAAGAAGCAGCTGGTTCCAATGATCATAAAGCCTAAGAAGGAGAACCTCGATTATCTAGTGAAGTTGGTGAAAGAAGGGAAGCTTAAGACAATAATTGATTCAAAGTATCCCCCAAGTAAGGCTGAAGAAGCATGGGCTAAGATCATGGATGGCCATGCCACTGGTAAGATAATCGTGGAGCCATAGTTTATGAGACGTGGTTGGCAAGTTTTCTTATTGTGTTGTAAGCTCCGTATCCACATATAATTTTCCTACTTGTTTTCTCAATGACAATTTGGACAATGAATGTTGTCGGGGGTTGGACTTGTATGCGTTTTCAATGTGATTGGGGCCATGGCTTGCCCTATAACAAGAATGTGATGTTTAAAGGGCAAAATGTTTTCTGACTATGAAGACACGATTGAATGTTTCAAAATTTATGTCATGTGAACATAGTCAAAACATATGTCAATTGTTGATGTACAATTTTGTCAAAAGTTGCGGTGAAGGTATCGTTCAATGTGAGCTGTGGGGTTTACAGAAATTGTGTTGGATCGCTTATACATCATATGGTTTGTAATGGGAGATGATGGTATCATTCTGATCAGAAGAGGCTGGCGAGAGAGGCAAAAAAGTCAGAACAGGGGTATATCCGTGAATTTATCCATTTCGAAGTCTGAAGATGAACCCAATGCATATTAAATAATTTAATAAAGCCATACTCTCCTTCCCGCTTTCTCTTAAACGGAAAAGGCTATGATTAAGATGATGCGAGCCGTTCAAAATAATAATTTAATAAAGCCATACTCTCCTTCCCGCTGCTCTCAAGGTACTCTCCTTCCTTGTTTGCATTTTTGCTGCTTCAAAAGTTTAAACAAAGGACATATATTATAGTTTTTCATGATTTCTGCAATGACAGAATGAATATGGAGGTGTACTAGCTGAATTTGCTGTGGCCCAGGAGAATTTGACAGTTTCAAGGCCTCCAGAGGTATCAGCTGATCAAGGTGCAGCTTTGCCGATTGCTGACCTCGCGGCTCACAAGTGCCTCCTCCAGACAGCAGGGTTCGAGTATGACGGAAGTGGCCAGCAAGTAAACCTCCTGATCACCGCTGCTTCGGGTGGCGTAGGTCAATTCGCAGTTCAACTAGCAAAGCTTGGAAACGCACATGTGACGGCCACTTGTGGAGCTCATAACATCGACTTAATCAAAAGTCTGGGAGCCGACGAGGTAGTCGACTACAAGACCCCAGAAGGTGCAGCTCTGAAGAGTCCTTCCGGTCGCAAATACGACACTGTAATCCGCTGCACAGTGGGCTTCCCTTAATCTACTTTTGAGCCTAATTTGAGTGCAAACGGCAAGGTATTCGACATTACTCCTACGCCTAGTGCTTTCATGACTTTTTCTCTGAAGAAGCTTACTTTCTCCAAGAAGCAGCTGGTTCCAATGATTATGACGCCTAGGAAAGAGAAGCTTGATCATCTTGTTAAGATAGTGAAAGAAGGAAAGATTAAAGCAGTAATCGATTCAAAGCATCCTTTAAGCAAGGCCGAGGAGGGTTGGGCAAAGAGCATTAGTGGTCATGCCACCGGGAAGATTATTGTGGAGCCTTAAGTAATTCGATCACTTTCTGTTGATATTCTATTGTATAATTAAGATTTGTGAACATTTGAATTATATGTTACAAGAAAATCTTAAAAGGAGTAATTGTACATGCACTCTAATCAGTAATCATCTACCTGCAAACTTGTAATAGTACCATTGTAATATCATACAGGGCCAGTAGGTCAAATCAAACCAGAGATCTTCATGTTTTCACTTGTTCCTAAACCATATTTACCTGTTTTACAATTGCTTACAACAGACAAGGCAACAACATCCAGTCATGCAATACAATGTTGTTATGCCAGTGCTTGTCAGAGCTGCTTGTCTTCACTCAACCATCTAAGGCTTAAAAGAAAGTTTTCTGAAAGCAGCATTCACTCGTTCCTCTGAAATTGTTTGGTAGTTTTCATAGAAATCTAAAATCTCCATGGAGATGTTTTTCACCTGCAAGTTTCAGTCAAATTTAGTTGACGATGGGAAATAAATTTTCTAAAAAGGCAGCCACTTTTTGGTATTATACATGGATTTAATTCAATGAAGTTGTGTACAAGATGTGCATTTGTGTAACGAAAGAAACCGTAACATTTTAAATCAGATATAGCTTTAAGAAACTCACCACATTCATATCGACGCGAAGCTCTTCAAACCAGGTGGTGGTATCTTTCTCTCGGTATACACTAGCAATGTACATGCAAGCTAAGGCAATCAAATACGGTGGATGTATAAGGACGAGGTCCATTTTGTATGTGTCATTTACAAGTCCCCTGTGTTTCAAAAAAACCCAAAAACACGTTTTTAGCATAACTTTGAAGAAGGATAAGGAGAAGATTGCAACAAATTTAGACCAAATTGTTGATCACAAACACGACATGCACATTAGTGCAGCTTCCATCCAGTCCGATGTTACCTATCTTTACATGCAAGAAACCATGCATCTTGATATACATGATGATGATCTCAGTCTCTTGTGGACACAATGTTGACAACCAACTACATATTCCAAAATTTCCATCCACAACTGTGGTTCAGATAAAACAGTTTTCTTAAATACGTCGCCTAATTCTACCTCTATCAACTTCGATTCTCAGTTTCTCAATCTAGAAATATTAAAGAAGTGGCCAGCGTCAAGTACAACTCAACAGTAACAGAAAGAAAGACAACGTGATCAAAATTCCCTCTGCCAGCTTTACATGCACTATAGCACTAACATGATCCTATATAAATCTCATAGGCTAGTTATTTAAAAATCTCATTAATCTCAAATGTCAAAATATTGAAACTCAATGTAGTCTCATATCAAGCTAAGTACCATCTTTTTATGTTAGATAAAAGTTTCCATCAAACAATTGCAGTCCTTATCTTTGATCCTAACCATCAAAGTTCAACAGTACTTCATACATATCTACTTGTGTATGGGTGTCCGTGCTTATGTATTATCCATCATGATCCATGTCAAGGGTAAAGCCGTGAATTTTTATATTGGGTCTTGGGATAAGAAATGATCAAATTATATAATACTATATATTTTTTTTTCTAGGAGGGGGAATTTTATCCTTTTTTTAGGAAGATAATAATGAAAAACCTAGTGCACCTGGACTAGCCGGGGGGATGAGGCCCCGTAGCCTTGCTTGCCCCTGGCCAATGCATAGTGCTGGCAATGCCAAAGGCAAAATACTTTCGGTGGCTCCTTTTTACAACTTTAAGAACCATGGGAAAATGTGGAGAATTTTAGGGCATATTCTGACATGGATAAAATATTTTGAACTTCAAAAGTGACTGATGTTAGAATTTTGACACTTACCAAGACAATTGAGTCATATTCATATCGTTGATGCCTGCATCCTGCAACAACCTGCCAGGATGAGAGGAATAATTTAAACTTGAAGTAGCTTGGTTCCAAAGAATTTGTTATCACAAATATCTTAAAGTTGTATCTGAGCTGTAAATTAGTAGATCTCTATAGTGTACAAAAGTATTTACAAAATGCTAACCGGATTCTACAGAACAAATTTATCAATATCTTGCAATTATGTCACTAGGAAACTGAAAAAGATTTAAAATAACAATAGAAAGAAGTGGGGATAATGAGAAAAGTTAAAGCTTAAGATAAAAATAGATACAATGACCTTAGAGGACACTACCTCTAATATAGACTGGAGTTATTAAGGCAAAGAATATCATTTCATTGATCCACCTTATTCCTTTCTATTACCAACTCTAAACCGTTAACCATGCAAAAGATTATGATGCAAATTAAAATATAACTACAGACGCATAAAGATTTTGACAAAGATAAAAAACTTACTGAACTAATGTGCGGTAAGGATGAAATACAACTAAATAATAGTTGAGTGCTTCTAAAATCTTCATTTCCATTTCAAGTATATCTTTGATTTCATATCTATACTTCTCATCAGAATCTGTAAAGAAAAAAAGGGAAGGATTGGAATAAACAACCAAATATCTTGGAAGTTCAAAGGATTAATCAATCAAATTACAGATAAGTGATTACTTAATTTTTTTATGTAAAATACAAGAAGTCTAGCCTGCACTGTGCTTTCTTCTGCCTTGGATGCCAAATATAAGCAAGTAGGAGCAACAAGACGTGGATCATATTCACTCATACTCTTTCTGAAAGAAAAATGAAAAACTATGGTTCACGATTCACACTGTAAGGAGTAAAATGGACACTTAATTTACATCAATGCATCTCTATCCCATCTGGGTGCGATAAGAATAATGAGCTTAATGCCTAATTTTGTATGGGCAATTGATAGTAAACATCAAATGAAAATGATTGTTCATGTGAAGCAGCAGCAACTGATGCAGGCCTAACGATCAACATAATTGAAAAGAACTGGATAATTAAGGCATGTGAATTCTCAAATTGAATCATGTTAAAAAAACTGAATCATGTCGTTGAATTCACAAGAATCCATAGCTAGATAAAAAACAATGAAAGTAAATAAGAGAATAGGTTACGAGCTGCTTGTCATCAATGACCAACATGACCTTTTACATAACCATATTATTAAACTAGGGAAAATACCTGGTATAGACACGTCTCATATATGCAACTGCAGTTGCTACAACCCTGAAAAGAATTTTTTGTGAATCAAATTTGTAATGACAACAAGTTACGCTAAAATCATTATGCAAAGAAACATACTAGAGTCACTGATTTTCCAGGAAAAAAGTGTCTCATAAAGGAGAGGTAAAGCTGTTTAAGCATGATATCATGTTAAGGATACATAATCTCCGCAAACCTTTCTGTTAGCGAACTTCTGGTCATAATTTGCTACAATTTCCCATGGAGCATCATGTGACTAACCTTTCTCATAAGGAAGCCATTACTTTATACATGATAGGTTTAAGTACAGATCACTTTGACAACCCAATATAAGAGGTTTGTAAATGAGCGTTATGAATGTCATTATGTCTAATCATCACACAAAATCAGTAATATGGCAGAGATAATAAAGTACATAATCAGAAACCTATGCATTCTCATTTTTAAGTTGACTCATAGATCTTTAGCAAGTGATTGTAAAAGATGTTCAGCCATTAGATAGTCAAGTTCAGTCTAGGATAGCACTATAAGACAGCTAGGACATAGAATAAATGTCAGCAGCACAAAAGCATAATATCAGCTGAATGAAAAAGAGATATTATAATCACATCGGCAGCTGAACCAGTTCAGATCCACCAATAAATGCCATAAGACATTACCAGCATAAGAAACCACAGCAGTATATACAATTATACATAATATAGAAAGGAAATGTAAAGATAAAAGTCATTGATGCCACCACTAAATGTAAAGGTCCATCATTAGTAAACAGAAAGGTCATTCTTAAAAACCCGAAGACAAGATCAAACCTTTGTCTCACTTTAACAAATTGAGCCAGTTTCTGAATACCTAAGAAAGTTTCAAAGAAACAAAAAAAGCATGAAATTGCGAACTTTAATGGGGAAGTTAAATGGAACAAATAGCTTTCTACTACACCACCAATTTACTTTTATAGTTCTAGCTAAAATAAAAATGCCGCAAAGTAAATTTTAGTACAGAAAAAAAAGCTCAGATTAGTAATCTTCTTTTATTGGTAGACTCGTTTGATATCCATGTTAAAAACAAAACATTAAAGCTATATTAAAAATAAAGGGGCCTATGATTCTTGAAACACTTCCTTGGTGACAAAATCTGAAGTAAAAACGGAACAATTATTATTATTATTTCTTTGGTTCTGCAATATGATTACATGCTTCTGATTTCGAGAACCCATATGCGAAATTACAAACTCCGTTAGATTAATAACATGTAAAAATGAAAGATTACATCAAAACGAACAAACCAAAATTTTAAGCAAAACCCAAAATTTACAAAGAAAAGTAGAAAGAACCTGAATCAAGATCCACACGAAAAGGAAGGCAATAATTGAGAAAGGGAACCTACAATTCGTCATGTGCATCTTAACGAGCTTAAATTCTTCAAGGGTTATGCCTTTATCTTTATCTTGCTGATGTACCACATCCACCTCTTCCGGGTCCAAAAACTGCTCGCTGCACAAACAAGATTAAATCAACCGATAAAAAAAATTAATAAAGTCAACATACAAAAAAAATGAAACAATTTAAAAGCAGACAATGGGTTGCAAAATCATTAAGGGTATATTTCGATTGTTACAAGTGAGAAGAAGTCCAGAAATTGGCCGCCATTTTCTCTTCTTTTTTCTTGTTCCGAGAGCTGAATCGTATATATTCGTATTCGTGCTTATTTATAACTTGTTTTGAGTTTTCCAGGAATCATGATTAACGTCGCAAAAGTAAGAATTTTTTTCGTGGCTGGATTTTGCTAAGGTCTGCCCAGATAAAGTAGGCCAGCCCATCTTTTCATTGATCCGAAACTAGAGCTTCAATGGCCTGTGTTCAAGGGATTTGGACTGGGTGGGCTTGTTAGTACTCGATAAATATTTTGAAATTCTAAATCGTGTTTGTCACTACAATTTATTTATTTATTAATAACGTTGCATAGTTTATAGAAATTTAAGTTTTGAGCTTCTGAGTATGTATATTCAATATTCAATCTTGGTAAAACATTTCCTTTAATATTTAAGATAATATTTAATTAATATTATTTAAATAGTTAAATAATTTAATTTATAATTTTTTAGTTTAGTAATTAAAATAAATCACCTTTAAAATTTAGTGAATATATATATATATATATTATCCTTTAAATTATATTCCTTTCTTGATTGTAAATCATGCATGGGCTAGACTTGAGCGCGTGATTTAATGGAAAAATACCTAGTCCTATTAAAAAAATTATCACAAAGTTTTTCATTTTATGTTATTATCACACCTTTAAGATGCGAAAAATAGAGGTTTTATAATTTATAAACGATGTCACATTATATCCGATTAGATATGTCTTCGAGAAATTAATAATATTCACATGAAAAGTTATATTAGAACGAGTTTTTGACTGTTCGTTTTCATGTTGAACTCTCAAGTGAATGGAATAGACATGATAGATAATTGTAATGATAACTTGTGACGAGAGTATCACAAGATTGAATGGAGAAAATATCACACCTTGAAGCGTGGGGTCATAAATCTCACATCAAAAAGAAAAATTGAAATGATTGAAAAAACAATGACGTTATGCATCCTATCATATGTCTTTTAGGGAGATAATAATAATCCTACGACACTATACTCCAATCAAACATAAAAAACAATATAACAGTATAGGCAAATTTTAATATATTATAAAATAAATATCAATTAAAGGTAGGAAATTTTAATTAAAACATGTTTATATAATCTGATTAACTTAATCGATGAAAATCAATCAAATTATAAATAAATTAATTAAAACATATTCATATAACCTGATTAACATAACTAGGGATCTGGTTATGATATCATAATATGATTTGGTTAACATAATCAGGATTTTGTTATGAAATCACAATAAGGGGCGGAGGTAGGCCTGGGCTTACCGAGGCCATGCTAAGAGAAAAATAAATATAATTATATAAATTTATTAAATTTAAATTTAATTACAATTTTATTTAATAAAAATTAAATTAATTAAATTCTTATTTAATTTTGAATTTAACTGTACTTTTATCTCTTCAAGAATCTTATAGTAAGAGAAAAAAATATAATTTTATAACCTTATTAAATTTAATTTTATTTATAATTTTATTTAATCAAAATTAAATTAATTAGAATCATATTTAATTTTTAAATTTAACTACAATTTTATCTCTTCAAAATCTTATAATCTCTTACTTGTTTATTTATATTCATTATATGCTTTTCAAATTCAAATAATTCTTTTAAAACATGAAATTGATCGAGTATATTAACTAAAATTTTAAATTTTTTTAAATTTTCATATTTTATTTTTATTTTGTTCTTTAATTACTTATGAACTTATGGTGTTATTAGAGTTTGTTTAGCAATTTTTCAACATCACCTACAAGATTATAATAAAAATTTAAAAGATGCTCCTCATATCTAGTTTTATTCAATCAAAATTATTCATTATTTTTTTGCCTCAATCACATATGATTTTGGTTCTATGAAAAAGAGAATATTATATTTCGAACTATGTATTTTGATAACATAAATTTTAAAGTTCTGTTAGAACATGTAATTATACTAGTCTTAGTTATTAAATTCTTGAATTGAAAGATTATATATATATATATATGAGAAATATTAGATAAACTTTTTATTATATTTATATTAGTCCAATCAATAATATCTTTCTGGATTCGTCAATGATCATAATACAAATAAATATATATATATATATATATGAAGATACACTTTCATTACAACTATAATTTAACCGATTTAAAATTTTAAAAATTAAAATGTAAAAAAACTACAAATCAGTAAATTAACATAAAAATCTTAATTCATACGGTACAAATAAATTATGATTTTTTTTATTAATACGAGGTAAGTATAAAATAATATCTATTCAATTATAACTTTCAACAACTTAACATTAAATACTCATACTTCTAATATTTATAGTATTCAAATTCGAAACTTTAAAGAATAATAACAGTAATAGGAGAATCTCATAGAAAATAATTGGTACGCTTTTTACTCCAATAATGCAGCATTAAATGTGAAAGCAATTGATGACTATAGGAGAACCCCATAGAAAACTCAGTCGTAACAGCCACATATGAATTTTGTGGTGGGGAGATTCAAGATTAGATAGTTATTGTTAGGGATGTAACTATTATCAAATACTAAGAGAGATAAAATATAATGATTTATTATGTATTTAATTTAAAAAATAAAAGAAAAAAAAAACCTAATTTTGTTTAAATTTCAACTGATAATGATTTAAAATACTATTAAATTTTATGTTCAAATTTAGATATTCGGATATCAAATTTGAAATTTTAGATATTAAAAACTCGGAGACCTAATTTTCTTCAATCGGATTAAGATCACTATTTTAATTATATGAAATTTCAAATATTTAAATTTTCGGATCTAATATCCAAATTTACACACCAATACTATGGGTCCAGATTTTCCTACATAATATAAACCACATATTTCCGTAGCCTTTCCAGATCATCAGATGTCCTTAATACTACTCTAACATTAGCCGTCAGAGTGTCATTCTCACTACAGAACCTCTGTGACATGTAATTGGTTGGCCGTCGGCCATTGATGCAAGGAAACCATGCCACGTTGGAACCATATTAAAATCTGGGAGTTGTTTCCTCTTAAAAATCACTCGTCAATCCAACACAATATAATCGACATATTATAACCTCTCATGTTAAAAATATCAATTTTTTATTAGTTCTCGTGTTATACAAAAGTTGTTGGTTTATATTATAATTTAATTATTTATATTTTTAATCTCAATTCAAAGCATAATCTTGAAATCTGTTATCACACTGAGAACGAAAGTATGCTAAAAAGTATAAAAGAAAAAGTAAAAGTCTAAACACGCGATATCATTAATAAGGGCAAGTTATATATATATATATATATATGTGTGTGTTACATCCTAACAAAATTTGGAATTTTTTAATATAAATTTAATATAAAATATTTAAAAATTAATACATATTTTAAAAATTATTGACACCTTTAAATAATAAATTGACACCCATTATTCATTTCCGCCCATTAAAAAAAATCTTAATACAATTTCTTAATTTGACACTCAAAAATATTTTTTTTAAATATGACGCCTCAAAATAATTTTTAAACTCCACCCGTAATATACTAATCATTTTGGTTATTATCAACGTGACCGATATCACATTCATAAATTGGTTCCTCCTAACCTCTTTTATCACACAATATATATATATAATGATCACAATTTCACACAACGCTCACTTATGACAACAATAATAATAGTATAATTATCTCATCTCATGCCGCAATCAGACATAAATGAAAGAGGAAAACTCGATTTCACTTAACATCAGGATAATTCCCACTATATTAATTACTAATGTTTCTTTTTATTTTAAATATTTTCTAGACTTACCAGTTTTTCAGTTTGATTTTTTTAACTCAAATGTTTAAAAATAGATCGTTATTGAGTCAAATGAGTATGAATAAACTTTCAAACTCAAACCTATTTATGTAAATTCTACCCTCCACCACGCTTATTTCAACTCGGTCATGTTATCATTATCTCCTCGTCTTCAGATATAATAAACAGTTCATTGAATTTTCTTAACATCGACTATATTTAAAAGTTTTCACATAATCTAGAAGTCCAATAGAAACCTCTAGTTATTCCAACGAAGCACGGCTTCCAATTTCATGTAGTCATGAATTAACTGAACTTAATGATTATGAAATTTGTTATTATTTTATGAGGTATTGGGTTCGAATACCGCTTATGCAGGGGGTAAACATTTATTGTCAAATGACTGAGAGTATTCGGATGGATATTACTTTATATTCACCACATATTTATGTATAAAAATCATTACAATACATACATTGAATTTTAATAGGTTCGTTGGTCAAAGTAATATAACTTTTGATGTTTCAATACATGGGTAAGGAACAATTTCCCCAAGATTTCACATTAAATCATTTCATGACTTTGCGTGGTTCATGTCATGTACTAAAAACAAGAAAATAAAGATTAGGATATATACATTGACACTAAGATAACTTTTGGAAGTATTATATATATTCATTCCACTTAGCCAAATTTATTATCATTTAAAATCAAGCATAAAAGAGACCAGGAAGAGAGAATCTCAAGCGTGCTTCATAAATCAAGATTGTTTTTCTTGAACATTTATAACTTACAGATTATATAATCTTAAATTTATTTGTTAAAACTTAAAATTTGATTATATTGTCAAAAAAGTTTTAATTTGAAATTTAAAAGAATAACTTTAATACAATTTATTTAACTTGATTAATAAAAGTAAATTAAGATGATAAAAGAACTCTTGTTAGATTAACTTGGTTTTTTTTTAATTAAATTTCATCAAATACACAACCTTATTTATAACTTATTAAAAGATATCTAAAAATATTTTCTTCTCTCCATCCACCACGTGAGTGGACATATTTCTAACAAATTTAAAGTGGAAAATTATATCAAATGTCACCCTATTTTAGTAAGCTTATAAATGAGTCATTATATTTTAAAAAATCACAATTGAATTATTCATTTAATCGATTATAATGATCATATTACTGTGTCATTAAATCTCAAGCAGGCTGTAAAAGGTATATTAGAAAACACTTATGTAAAAAAAACACATAA